GTCCCGCAGGGATCAGTCCTTGGACCTATACTGTTTCTGGTATATGTAAATGATCTCCCAGAGGGTATAGACTCGTTTCTCTCAATGTTTGCTGATGACGCAAAAATTATGAGGAGGATTGAAACAGAGGATGATAATAGGAGGCTACAAGATGACCTGGAAAGGTTGAATGAATGGTCCAACAAATGGCTGCTCAAGTTCAACTCAAGTAAACGCAAAGTAATGAAACTAGGCGGCGGAAACAGAAGGCCAGACACAGGATACACAATGGGAGATGAAGTACTTAATGAAATGGACAGAGAAAGATCTAGGGGTTGATATCACACCAAGTATCTCTAATCTCCTCCTTTCTCTGCTGAGATCTCTAATATCTCTAATCTCTCCATGGTTGCCCACCCGCATGGTTTCCCACCCGCATGGAGGACCAGAAACATGGAGAGCTAAGCTGCTGGACGTGGCAACAAGAAACTTTCTAAGCCAGCACATCAAGGATCCAACAAGAATGAGAGGAGAGGATGAGCCAGCAATGCTTGATCTGATATTTACCCTAAATGAGTGGGATATAAGGGAAGTCAAGATGGCAGCACCCTTGGGATGAGTGATCACATTGTATTGAACTTTGAGTACCTGGTAGAGCTAGGAATTATCTCCCCCCCCCCCCCCGAAAGAACTAGGAAACAAAAGGCTGGCATACCGAAAGGGAAATTATGAGGAGATGAGAAGCTTCCTAAGGGAAATACCTTGGGACACAGACCTCAGAGCTAAGTCTGTACAAGATATGATGGACTATGTCACCCAAAAGTGTCAGGAGGCAGTAAGTAGATACATCCCGGCCCAAAGGAAAAATCCGAGAAGCAAAAGAAGAATCCATGGTATAATAGGGCATGTATGGAAGCAAAGAAACTGAACAAAAGGGCATGGAGGAACTTCCGGAATAACAGAACACCAGAAAGCAGAGAGAGATACCAGAGAACCAGGAATGAGTACGTCAGGGTGAGAAGAGAAGCAGAGAAAAGTTATGAAAATGATATAGCAAACAAAGCCAAGACCGAACCAAAGCTACTCCACAGTCACATCAGAAGGAAAACAACAGTGAAAGAACAGGTAGGGAAACTTAGAACAGGTGAGGACAGGTTTACAGAGAATGACAAAGAGGAGTGTGATGAACTCAACAAGAGGTTCCAAGAGGTCTTCACAACAGAACAAGGTGAGGTCACTGTGCTAAGAGAAAGGGACGTAAACCAGGCGGCATAGGAAGAGTTTGAAATTACGAGAGAGGAGGTCAAGAGACACCTGCTGGATCTGGATGTTAGAAAGGCTGTTGGTCCAGACGGGATCTCGCCATGGGCACTGAAAGAGTGTGCAGAGGCACTTTGCCACTCTCCATAGTGTATAGTAGGTCACTGGAGACCTACCAGAAATATGGAAGACGGCGAATGTGGTCCCAATATACAAAAAGGGCGACAGGCAAGAAGCACTGAACTACAGGCCAGTATACCATGCAAGGTGATGGAGAAGATCGTGAGAAAAAACCTGGTAGCACATCTGGAGAGAAGGGACTTCATGACAAATCAACAACATGGGTTCAGGGAGGGTAAATCTTGCCTGACTGGCTTAATAGAATTCTATGACCAGGTGACACAGATTAAGCAAGAAAGAGAGGGCTGGGCGGACTGCATTTTCTTGGATTGTCGGAAAGCCTTTGACACAGTACCGCATAAGAGGCTGGTACATAAGCTGGAGAGACAGGCAGGTGTAGCTGGTAAGGTGCTCCAGTGGATAAGGGAGTACCTAAGCAATAGGAAGCAGAGAGTTACGGTGAGGGGTGAGACCTCCGATTGGCGTGAAGTCACCAGTGGAGTCCCACAGGGCTCTGTACTCGGTCCTATCTTGTTTCTGATATATGTAAATGATCTCCCGGAGGGTATAGATTCATTTCTCGCAATGTTTGCGGACGATGCCAAAATTATGAGAAGGATTAGGACAGAAGAGGACTGTTTGAGGCTTCAAGAAGACCTAGACAAATTGAAGGAATGGTCGAACAAGTGGTTGTTAGAGTTCAACCCAACCAAATGTAATGTAATGAAGATAGGTGTAGGGAGCAGGAGGCCAAATACAAGGTATCTATTGGGAGAGGAAATCCTTCAGGAGTCAGAGAAAGAAAAAGACTTGGGAGTTGATATCACGCCAGACCTGTCTCCTGCAGCACATATCAAGAGGATAACATCATCGGCATATGCCAGGCTGGCCAACATACGAACGGCATTCAGAAATTTGTGTAAAGAAACATTCACAACTGTGTATACCATGTATGTCAGGCCAATTCTGGAGTATGCAGCCCCAGCATGGTGTCCATATCTAGTGAAGGATAAGACTAAACTGGAAAAGGTTCAAAGATTTGCCCCCAGACTAGTATCCGAGCTGAGAGGTATGAGCTACGAGGAGAGACTGCGGGAATTGAACCTCACTTCACTGGAAGACAGAAGAGTTAGGGGGGACATGATCACTACATTCAAGATTCTCAAGGGAATTGATAGGGTAGATAAAGACAGGCTATTTAACACACGGGGCACACGCACAAGGGGACACAGGTGGAAACTGAGCGCCCAAATGAGCCACAGGGATATTAGAAAGAACTTTTTTAGTGTCAGAGTGGTTGACAAATGGAATGCATTAGGAAGTGATGTGGTGGAGGCTGACTCCATACACAGTTTCAAGTGTAGATATGATAGAGCCCAATAGGCTCAGGAACCTGTACACCTGTTGATTGACAGTTGAGAGGCGGGACCAAAGAGCCAGAGCTCAACCCCCGCAAGCACAACTAGGTGAGTACACACACACACATATACACACACACACACACGCGCGCGCACACAAGTCTGCTAGAAAAGAATATACTGGGAGAGAAGAAAAGTTCAAGGCAAGACGGAAGACACGGCCGGGTGTCCGCTGACCGGGACATGAATAAAAAAGAAAGAGGAAGCTATGAGAAATAGAAATGTAAAGCCAAGGGAAATTGAAAGGGGGTAGGAAATGGATTTGGGGGAGATCATGAAGCGAGACCATGTCAGGATTATCGCCTCAGCAAAAAGTGAGTCCAATCACTCTGACGAAAGATCCTAGGGGAACGATTGCATGTGACTAGACGAACAAGCATAAAAGTCATCCTCCGGATTAGAATTAGCTCGATGGGAGAACCTAGCAGCCGGGGAGGAAAGAAAGTTGCCCATGAGAAGTAAAAAATAAAAATTGGAACACAAATGCAGATGGCATCACAAATAAAAAGAGTTGAGTTGCAAGAAATGGTGACAGATATGCATCTTTATATCACTGTGGACTGGTCAACAAAGGATCCTCACAGGGAAGATGAAAGAGAGGGCATGACTTGCGGACACAGCTGACCAACACTTCCTGTGGCAGCATATCAAGGAGACGACACCAGAAAGTGGTGATCTACCAGCTACCTTAGACCTGTTGTTGACCCAAAATGAAGAGGCTGTAGAGAACTTAATATATGAGGTGCCGCTGGGAACCAGTAACACCGTTATCGTGTTTGATTACTTTCTAGAAATGAAAGAATTAGAAACATGACAAAGAGTAGGAGAGAATCCAGAACTGCTGACAACAGAAGGGTGAGCTCATTTGCAGGATGTTCAACTAAAGAGTAAAATGGAAGGAAAATCAAAATAAAACGATGGAACTCATTACACAGAAATGGAAAGAAGCAACGGCACAGCTCATACCTCTCAGGAGGGAAGTGGACGACAGAGGTTCAACCCCATGGGTCAACGGTGTAAGAAGACACAAAAGGCATGATAAAGATATTGCGGCAAATAAGAATAGAAGGCATTAAAGAGGGCCTGGAATGAGTACACATGAATCGGCGAGCAGCAGAGAAGCAATTTAAGATTGACATTGCAACAAAGAGCCGAATTAAGCTCTTGCACAGTCACATAACGATGAAAATTAAACTATGCTTGTAGACTCAGGTGACAAGGAGAAACGCTTGGAGAATGACAGAAGTGTGTGAAGAACTTAATAAGAGGTTCCAGGAGGTCTTCGAAAAAGAACCTAGATTGCTGTCTAAGTTGGGAGGGCTTTCTGGGGAAAGCACCAAGTTACAGAACTGAATTTAATTTTAATATAGAAGAGGTAAAAAGATACCTGGAGGAGCTGGATGTAACAAATAAGTACACACCAGACTGCACACAATCCCTGCAGGTTTCTTCACCTGCAGGGCTCTTGTACTACCCATTATCTGTAGTGGTGTATATTTTCCTAGAGACCGCGAGTTGCCGGAAATCTGGAAAAAGGCTAATGTAGTTAAAATATGCAAACAATGGGACAGATATAAAGCCTTAATATAGCCACTAGTGTCACTAACATACACTCCGTTCAAGAGTCTAGAGTCATAAGATAAATAGTAGTAATCGTGCTTAACAAACATGAGGCAATTCTATGACAGGCCAAAAAGCTTTTGATACCGTTCCTGGCAAGTGACCAATACACACGATGGAGAGACGAGAGAGAGCAGTAAAGACTCTGGACTGGGTACTGGTGTATTTAACTGACAGGAAATAAAGGGCCATAGTCGGAGACGATAAGTCAGGCTGGAGAAGAGTGGAAAGAGGTGTTCCGTAGGGCTCTGTAATTAAAAAAAATAATTGTAATTTAAATAATTTTATGCAATTTTGTAACTTGGAGGGAGTGAGCTTGTACATGTCGATGCATGCAGATGGTGGAAAGGTAATAGGGTGAAGAACTGAAGAGGACTGTAGGGGTGGAAGGGGACACATGTGGAAACTTAATGCCCAAATGAGCTGCAGAGACGATGAGGGGATTTTTTAAAGTTTCAGAGCAGTTAACAAAGGGAATGCACAAGGCAGTGATTTGGTATAAGTTCATTGGTATACACACACACACACACACACACACACACACACACACACACACACACACACACACACACACACACACACACACACACACACCACACCCACCTGCACGGAGATGGTGCAAAAGCAGATACAAAGCTGTGATCTCGGGAGATGAACGAGGGTCGCTTCGTGGTCTTGTTCCCCGCGTTGAAAATCCTTGAGATACGGTTGGTCTTGGTGAGGAGGGCGCTGTAGACCACGGCGAAGCAGAACCCCAGACCAAACCTCTGCACCCCACACACCACCGCCGACGGCTTGATCAGTACAGAAGAGAGAGAGAGGGGGAAGCATAAGTTTCTGTTGGAGTTACCGTCATGGCTCTGACAGATTGTTTCAAGCGTAGGTATTTGAATGTGATTGGGTGGATATAAATATGAGCTGCATCGTATGGACCAATAGGCCTTTTGCAGTTTTCTTCATGCAGGTTATTGCTAGTGAAGGTTGGCC